GCAATAAGCCTCCACGATCTTATGCTTCGGGTAATCAGCCTCGCTCGCGTTGTTGAGGTGACAAGTGCCATTGTTGTCCAWGAAATTTATAGAYTTGCATTTTTCTCCARAWTKAAGGCAGTGCTGAATACAGAYAAAGACGTCCGCCATGTTGTTTTCAGAATRCATCACGTGATTCGATAAGCATTGGCCATGGGTTGACTGAAACATTGCCTCTGGGTATATTATTTCTGCATCTTACAGAAAACATAAAAATGAATAAATAATTTATTTAAAATGAAAAATAAATATAGAATATGAATGGAAAGCCGGCGAGCACAGGAACCTTTCATTGCGCTCTAAAACGCAGAATACCTATACATTTCAATAAAAGTGGTCGGATTTAAAATTGGAGATAAAATGGCAGTTGTCTAACGGAGATTGCACGACCAAAAGGAGACACGGGTTTTAATAATTAATGGGAAGTGCTGGAAGGTCACTGCTGAAGTGAGATAAAGCGCTGCAGAAATTGTATATAATGTAAGATGTTGAACCCAGCACGTGTATATCAAACTGCATAACCATAGTCCCTTTCGTACATACAGTCGCCTTTTACCCTTTCCCCTTCAATGTTTTTTTGAAATAAAAGTGTATCCATATTTGAAAAGCAAAAGTTTTTTTTTGAAGATGATACAACATATTTTTCTCCAGTTTGGAGATCTTATTAGTGAAGCCTTGTTCTCAAAAGCATGTAATATATTCTTTTATTCAGCAGAGACACTACTATAAAGCAAAAAACTCTGTGTACGAAGAAGACTAAAAAAAATTATGCTTGGACTGAATCCGAGCTTGCGCAAATAACAAATCGAAACTGGAGTATTACACATGAAAATTGGCATTAATTTCATGTGATGGAATCATTCTTTGCGAGTTTAGTGATTCGTTGATTTTTTCTTCAGTAAATAATTCCGTAAAACAAAAAGAGAAAAAAGAATAAGACAAACCTTTTGGAAATACATATTGCTTTTCATACCTGGTTCTATGCAAACGCGATTACCAAGACTTTTCTCCGGTACGTCGTCGAACATAAAAACAGGATATCCATAGCACTGTCTTACATAAACAGTGGCATTTCTCCCACAGCAATCTGCTCCAGTTCTGTAACAAATTTCCATCTTTTTAATCCCAGCTTCTAGGGMTGGATACTGGCCATTTAGCCATCCTGGGGCYTTAGCRCCGCATGAACCTGGASCYGGACAAGAAGTGACTATTCGTRCCGYTTTTTTGTTCTGTAGTCGATACCATCGTCTTYTGATGAAKGTTTCTCTATCAGAAGGATGACCGCTCACTACATCGTATTCCACGGCCCTTGTGTGGTCTTCAAGTAGTGTGTTTTGCAAACATGCAGAATAAACCTCTAAAAGCGAAAAATATATTAACAATTTAAGATAGTCGGTATAATAATTATGTACTTGTTTTAATACGAACGAGTTTAACACATCATAAATCAAGCTGCCAATGGCAACACAACTCGGAGATTGTAGGGTTATATTTCCCCGGTTATTTCTTGGTCCGCTATTTTGAGAGCCTGCTATTTTTTTCAGCGGCTATCTTTAAAAGTTCACAGGAAAGTGAGTGAGTGACACATCGTCTCCCTCCAATAACTCTTCGATTGCTTACGCAATCTCAAAGTTAAAAACTATGATTTTTCTATTTTTATAGGCTTAGTTTTCAAAAATAGACATCACTTAGACCTACCATTTCTTTCCTGACATCTACTCATGATGGCCAACACTTGCTTTGCTGTCAATGCTTTATCGTAGAATTGAACACATGAAATACGTCCTTTGAA